ACAGGACGATCGCATTATTGTGTCAGTTGATAGCCTCCCAGGTCAAGGCTTTTAGCATCTCGTGATAGCTTCAAAGTGCGTCAGCTGGTTTATAGTGAAGAATTTGCGTTGATTGCCGTAAGAACGCAGCTGTACGGCCCAACCTTACTCACTTTACACTGCCCATACGTCATTACACTGTCTGAGCCAGTCAGTCAGGGGGAGGATGCAAGTGGTTGGCCAATCACGAGCTTCGCGTAGGCGTGCCACACCATTCCTTCCAAATGTTTCTTTTTCTGGTGCTATTAACGTGTGCTATGCCCTAATCTAGCCCACAAATATTGGTCGAGCGCACCCCTCGCGCGACCCGTTCTATGAACACACCTCCCTAGGGGGTCCGCGACGGATCTCAAAACTTCAGGCAAATAAAAGTATTGTCCCAGCGGTCGAGTCGTCTTGTTCTCACACTTCCCTGGATCCAACGGTCCAATGAAATGTTTTGACTGGCAGAAAGGTGACCCAATCACTGGGTCAGCAAGTGAATCTGTCTATTATTTTGAAATTCACACGCGAGTCCACCCTCGGAGACTCCAACAGACAGAAGTATGAGGCACACACGCAAATAAATATCTATGGGATGCAATTTATACACAGGCACACATATTCTAGGGTTATCGCTTTCGTATTAATTGCAGATCTTCGTACTGTGGTTCGATACTCGCCAGCTCATCACCGATTGTATTACTAACTCCAACGATTTTACCATAGGTATTTATGGTTGATCCGATGCTTACTTACAAAGCCAAAAGGAGAGAAAAAATTGTCTTATAATCAAATTTCTATGAGAGCGTCTGTTGGCTACTTTCCGCCCAAATTTCGCTTTGAGACTTTATCCAGACCTGAGGCACCGAAGGCGCTAAGTTATTATGTCCGATGACCTGCTGGCACTGTTAGAAGCGTCTGCGGTTTAGTTAAACGGTATTGCAACTAAGTCAAATACATAGGCTAATTATTTTGAAGGAGGAAGACTTTAAACGCATCAACAGGATGGAGGGAGGTATGATTTAACTCGAACTTCAAGGTCTGCGCGATGTAATTGGCTCGCAGCTTAAATATCGACGCAAAAATCATCGACAGGTGCAACCGTGCGAGTTGCGAGCTGCTTAAATCCTGGCATTAATTTTTATCAGCAAGCATGACGGTCGCCCCTTTCCACTTATTAAGCACTCACGACTTTGCTGGAGATATCAAGGTTACCGTTTTCAACCACAGAACACATTTTTCGACAGTCAATTTCCTCTATCATATTCTCCTTACCTTCTGTACAGAATAAACTTTTCCTACCACTCTGGCCTTCCTATGACTTCTCTTCTCTCAAGGCAACTAGGCCTGAAGATCACAGTTGCTAGGATTTAAGTAAACCGCCTGCGGTATTGATATGTACAGCTTTGTTTGATAGTCTTAACAAGTTAAGTGACTCACGTTGAACAGGCGACCACGTGGAGCTAGGAAAGATTTCTGGCGACAGCGGCGAACTTTGGCATTCATACGTATAACCGCATACCTCTGATTTGCTCTTTTCATTTTTTCGCCTTCTATGCACTATCAGTTTGATGACTATCTTTGCCACTCCCCTCCCTTGCCTTTCAACGTGCTGTCACATTGCCTAATACGATACCGTGAACCGTAGTGAGTCGTTAAGTGTCCTGTCTGCTCCTTTCCCTTGCACACTGCTGACAACATGCGTTTTGACTTTATTCATATTCTATTTTTTTCTTTTTATATTAATCGAAAAGCATTTGACAGCTTAAGAACCCAAACCTTCACATCGCTTCATAAAAAACTCAGACGCGGTGCACTTCGGACAACTCGCAGTTGGGAATATTCTCCTGACCAAAGGTAGCAACGTAGAACAGCCCTATTTTCTCCATAAGTGCCTCCATGATCAACCGACTCCATGATACCTATGGTAATAGACATCAGGTAAAACGTTCATTGGCGGTTTATCGAGGTGATGACGAGAGTGTGGCAGTCTTCGGATCAGCGGCACTAGCACCGACTCACCCCTCCTTTGCTGCCAAGCCTTTGTACAGTCGCACGTGACAATCGCCTTCGCCTGTGAAGCCTTGCGCGCTCAAGGTCGGGCCTCTTTCATGCGTCTTGGAATAAGGCCTTCGTGAGAACTCGAGCCAGTCAGAGTGCATCGTTTCCTGATTGGCTGCAGGACACGTCCGGGATCCTCAAACCCGTGTGCACAGGCACGGGACGCACAACAGCTGCCTGAGGAGGCTGCATGCAAGACCTTAAGTGACCAGCCCTTTGTAAGCCCCTTATTGCAGTACATAATGTCCTACCTTAGCAGTCTTACCTGACTTCTGGCTTGGGGGAACCTTCCGTTGTTGACATCACTCAGACAATACAGGTGAATCCCTCCGAACACACGTTTCTTCCAAGTGTACGATATAGTCAGCTATTGAAGATGGACAGTTTTCCAGCAGAAGTTCAACACATTTTAGCACCTGCTTCGGACTGTCTTATTGCCGCAAAACTGACTCAGTTAGCCGAAATGCTGATGTAAACGTATGGTTTGGCCAAGCCCTACCATTCCTTCAGTTGTTTCTGTGTCTCCAATTTCAGCTCTGAAGGTTGCGATTGCGCAGCCTGCCAAAAATATAGCTTATCTTCAACAGCATACAGCAAAAGCTCTTGAGAAAAAGTGGAAGCGTCCACACCTCGCCAGACGAAACAAGCCAGAGTTGGTTAATCCTGGACCAGATCGGAGTACACCTATGTACTAAGCAACAGCTCTCTTCGTCTGAGAGCCCGTCGGGGTCATCTTACCGGCATTTCCAAGCAACTTCATCTGGTCCCACCTCACTTGGCACCTGCCGGTATCACACTTCTTTCGGTGTCAAAGCTCTTTGCTGCATTATTCACTGCCGTTCATTTTCAAACAGGTAAAACCGAGCCACGCGAACGTGAATGCTACCAATCTGTCTGGCGTTTCTACCTTCGGTCGCATCTTTTACGTCTGTGACAGCAAAAGAGGTAGACGTTTCTCGGTTGACACTGGCGTTCAGCTGAGTGTCATTCCGCCCTTAGCAGCTGACCACCGGTGCTCCGACCCCAGCCTAGTCCTTCAGACTGCCAGCACCACCCCTATTGCCACTCTCGGCGCCTGTTCCCTTTCACTGGACATCCGGCGTCTCTTCCCTTGGATCTTTGTGGTTGCTAATGTGCCATTCTCAAAGCGGATGTTCTCTTCGCTTTCGGTCTTATATTTGACCGCCGTCACTCCCGTCTACACGCCAGACAACCAAACTGGCCGTCCGAAATATCCATTCCTTCAACGTGTCCCGCCAAATTACCTTCCTTGGTCCTGACTCCGATAATCCATTTCGGTAACTTCTTGCGTAATATTCTGGTCTCCCTTTTCCAAACTTCAGTGCTTTAACACCATCTCATGAAGTTATGCAGCACATTCGAGCCACCGAACCCCCGCTGTTTTCTAGACCCCTTCGTCTCGCACCTGTACTACTGTCTGCCACCAAGGCCGAGTTAAAGCATATGCTTTAGATAGGCATAATTCATCAATCTTAAAGTCTATGGGCTTCCGTTCTCCATATGGTCCCAAGGGCTGCCATTGGTGACTGGCATCCCTGCGGTAACTAGAGGGGTTTGAACAATGTCACCATTCCGGACCGCTACCCGGTTCCCAATCTTCAGGACTTTGCCGGTGCCTTATTCGGCAAGTCTGTTTCCTCGAAGATAGATCTGGTCCGTGCCTTCCATCAGGTCCCCGTAGCTCCGGAGGACGTTTCGAAGACGGTCGTAACATCTCCCTTAGGGCTCTTTGAGTTCGAACGCATGCCGTTCGGACTCCGCAAGGCTTCCTAAGTGTTCCAGAGGTTTACAGACAGAGTGTTTTTCGACCTCCCTTTTGTCTACGCCTAGATTGACGACATTTTGGTTGCCAGTTTCACCACAAAAGACTACACGGAACATCTCTCAACGGTGTTTGACCGCCTTCAACAACGAAGTATTGCCCT